GCTCCGGGGTACCCCATGGCGCGTGACTCAGCCTTGCGACTCCTCTGCTCCGCGAGACCCTCCTCACGCCAGGCGACCTCGCCCCGTCACCTTACTCAGGTCACCCGATCACATGACCTATTCTCAGGGGTCTCCCACTGTGCCCCGTAGTAACCCCTCCCTCAGGAACCTCCGCTGTCGTGTGTCCCTCCCGCAGGATGTTCCGCCGGGAGGGCTCCATCCCTCTCCGAAGCTCAGCCGCCGCCCTGTGCAACAACCTCAGCGTGCTGCAGCTGCCCGCGCACAACCTCACCCACTTCGGGGTGGTTCATGGACCAAGCGCGCAGCTTCTCAGCGCTGCCCCTGAGGGCGTGCCCTTGGCCCAGCGGCAGCTGCATGCTAAGGAGGGCGCTGGGGTGAGCCCCCCACTTATCACTCAGGTGAGCTTTGGAACGGGAACAGTGCTGCAGAACTCAGTCCTGCCCACATCCTTTCTCTCCACACCTCAAGGAATAAGACTTCCCTAACCCTTTGATGTCCCCACTTTGACTCTTCCTAGTCCCCGCTCTAATCTTGTCCCTGCTCTGACCCACCTCCCTCCAGGTCCACTGGTGTGCCCTGCCCTTCCGAGTCCTGCTGGTGCTCACTTCACATCGTGGGATACAAGTGAGAAAAGGACCCTCTTGCCCGCCCCCACCAGGCTCCTCAGCTGCCAAGGCTCTTAGTTTCTTCCCACTAGCCTCTAAACACTTCTAAACTTGCCGTCTGCTTAGCTCTCTCTTCTGTCCTCATCTCCATTCCTCCATCTTTTTCTGTTCTCAAGTGCCCCCTTCAGTATCTGCTCCTTTACTAACTGTATGACCTTGAGCCTCAGCGTTCTCTTCTGAAAAATGGGGATAAGATAGTGCCTGCCTCCCAAAATTGTTTTGAGGATTAAGTGGGCTAAGAAGGACATGCGAAGTGCTCAGGGAGAGCTTGGCCTAGGTCAGTGGGATTATGGCCCCATCCTTGCCCCTGCATTCCAGATGTATGAGTCTGATGGCTCCATCATGGTCTACTGGCATGCACTGGATGGTGGAGATGCCCCTCCAGGTACCTGCCGGGCCAGGCGGGGCGGGTGTAGAGTGTTTGCTGAGGCTGGAGGAGGCACTATTTCTGATAGTTATCCCCTTTGATCCTCAGTACAAGCTGTGTTTGCCCGAGGAATTGCTGCCAGTGGCCACTTCATCTGTGTGGGTGAGGGGGCTGAGGGGTATTGGGATTTGGGGGTGTGAGCTTTGGCTTCAGAGAATGCTGAGGGTTTGAGGAAATTGCTGAGGACTGAAGGGAAAGGTGGGAGTGGAGGGGATCTGAGAGACTCCAAAATGTCTGGAGTCTCAAAGTTCAGAGGGGTTTAGAGGTACAGGGTGCTATAGCTATAGGCTAGCGAGTGGGGAGACAGGGCTGTTGGAGCAGTGAGGGGGGGTTGTTACTAAGGTTTCTGGGATGGAGGGCATGGTGAGTGTGGTGGCTGGGGACTCTGGGCAGTCAGGAAGCCATCAGTGCGACCCGGATTCTGGCTGCAGGGACGTGGTCAGGCCGGGTGCTGGTGTTTGACATCCCAGCCAAGGGTCCCAACATCGTACTGAGTGAGGAGCTGGCTGGGCACCAGACACCAGTCACAGACATCGCTGCCGAGCCTGCGCAGGGACAGGTGAGTGGACTTCCCCTGCCCATTCCAGAAAGCCTCCTCCACCCAGGGAGGCATAGGGCCCGGGTTCGGGCCTTTGCTCTGCCAATAGCCAGCTGGATGACTGAGCACATCTGCACCTTCAGCAACCCAGGCTCCGTGATTAAGCCAGAGATAGTTGATGTTTACATAGCATTTTGCAGCTCACTAACTTTTTTGGAGAGGTTTTTGCTATAGGGCACATGCGCTCGCCAGAAAGACAGAGACAGACAGAGAGACAGAAAGTGAGAAATCACCCCCCTAGGGGATGGCCATGCCACAATCCCTTCTCCATTCTCCTCTCAGGATCTTGGGCACACACACACCCCATCTGGCGTGAGTTTTAAGCCACCAGGTCTGGGACTCGAACCACGGTTGGCTACATGGGAGTCCAGTGACATAGCCATTACGCTAACTGCTGGTCCCATGGCTCACTGACTTTTCGATACTGGTATGAATGAGGAGTTGAAACAGACGGCTTCTAAAAATGCTCTTCAGCTCAAATATGTGAGCTTCCTTCTCTGGACTTGGGCAGGTCGTACCTCTTCAGGTCTAGCTCCAGTGCCCCCTCTCCAAGAAGCCTGCCCCCTGGTCTATCTCCCATTGATCTCCCTTAACTGAACCCTGAGTTGGCACTGTCCTCAAAGAAATCTTGTCTCCCCAGTTGGATTGCAAAAACTCTTAAGGATGGGGTATGTATTTTCTCCTTCATATCCTCCACTGCCTGGCACGAGCTAGGACTGTGGGCTACGTCGGCCGCTGCCGTCGGAGTTGGAAGGCCCAGAGTCTAGTCATGACCACGACTGGCTCACTGCAAGACCTCTGGAAGGGCGTGACATTGTGGCCTCACTTTCCTCATGCACTCAGTGAGGACATTTGAGAACCCCGTAACACATGTGTGTGTACTGGAGGTGGGGGTCGGGGTGGTGAGATATAAGGAAATGCAAGATCGTGGTCTCTGAGGGAATGCTAGGCAGTGTTTCTGGTAGGTCCGGCCAGTGAGGGCTCCCATGTTGCCCTTTTCCTTGAGAGACAAAGATGCAGATACTTCTCTCCCCTCCGGCCCTGTACCCAGGACCACAGCAGGGGCGAACAGGAAGGGCTGATCCTGCCTTTCCCCTCAGGATTGTATGGCTGACATTGTGACAGCAGATGACTCGGGCCTGCTGTGTGTCTGGCGGTCAGGACCTGAATTCACTTTATTGGCCCGCATTCCAGGATTTGGGTAGGTGTGGCAGAAGGGCGCTGAGACCTTCCTGAGGTAGCTTCAGGATGGGGAGTGTGCTCGGGTCTGGGAGAATCAAAGTGGGATGTCACCCTTGCAGGACCCCATGCCCTTCTGTACAGCTGTGGCAGGGGATTGTAGCAGCAGGCTATGGGAACGGGCAGGTGCGTCTGTATGAGGCCACTACAGGGACGCTGCATGTCCAGATAAATGCCCATGCTCGGGCCATCTGTGCTCTGGACCTGGCTCCTGAGAAGGGCAAGGTCAGTCTCCTCCCCCATCCCTACATACCCTTCCTCCTGGTGCTGGGATTGAGAGGACACCACTGACTTGCCTCTGCAACTCAGTGTAGTCCCCTCCTGGGGTGCCCAGACTGGGTACTGTACCTACTGGGGTGTTCTGACTCCCTCTTGTCCCCTCCTTTTTTTTTTTTTTCAATAGCTGCTCTCTGCAGCCGAGGACACATTTGTGCACATCTGGAAGCTGGACAGAAACCCAGAGAGTGGTGACATTGAGGTGCGTGTCATGGGAGGGTGAATAGGGGTCCCAAGCTGGGGCAGCAGGCTCTGACCAGCCCCTTCTCCCCCAGGTGGGACACTGTCATGGTGAGTGTATACCCGACACCCAGGTGTGTGGCGCTCGGTTCTGTGACCCCTCGGGCAGCTCCTTTGCTGTGACTGGCTACGACCTTGCCGAGATCCTGAGATTCAGCAGTGCATGACAGAAGAGCAGCCTTCCCCGTCCCCGCGGTATTTATAAAGTACCTTCCACCCAGCCCTTGTCTTCTTACTCGGTGTCACAGTCACACTTCACAGCGGGGACACGGAGCACCAGGGGTGTGAGTTTGGAGGTCCAGAGCAAGCCAAGAGGTGCATCCAGTCCTCAGGAAGCTGGTGAAGGCGGCTGTTAAATAACTTTAATGATGTTGCAGGAGCCCCGGAAAGGTGCCTTCCCTCCCAAGGCTCTTCAGTGCCATCCTCAAAGCCAGTTAGTGCAGGGTTTCCAGTTTTCTCCCAGGAAGGATTTAGGGGGTCCCAGCCAGCCCTGGAAAGAGTCCCTCAATACCATGGCAACCACAACTTCAGAGGGGCTGCTGCCTGCCCTACCCCCAGTCCAGCAGAGGAAAGGCCAAGCTGGCCAGCGTGCTGCAGACAGCGCCACATCCAGAGCTCAGCCGCACATGGTCACTCTCTCCTGGCCAGATCCTGCTGCCAGCACCTTCCTCTCACACTGGCGACTGGAGCCAAGTACGCGCAGAGCCTTTGCCGCAGAGGCCTCTGGACCGTGGGGATCGCTGCAGGGGGAGAGGGGCAACCGCGCGAGAAGCCCCAAGGGAGTGGTCTGGAGGGGCAGCATCCAGGGAAAAGGTTCGGGGCCGCCTCCAGGGCAGAGGGTCAGTCCAGGCTGGGGCTGGGACCACTGAGGCAGGTGAGTAGGGGCTAGGCAAGGCAGGCTGGTCTGTAAACATGGCTAGCCAGGGCGGGGGCGTCTCCAGCCTTGTGCCCTCCCGCTGGGCCAAGATGTCTGTCACTGCTGCGATGTCATCTAGCGGCTCAATAGCTGTGGCACCGGGAAGGGGTTGAGGGGAGGGGGCCGGTCAGAGCTCAGGCCCCAGGCCTACCCAGCCCTGCCCATCACCTGTCACTGTAATAGGAGGAAAGCAAAGCCCGGATCTCAGCCGAGACTGCGTTATCCTGCAGGAGCAGCCCCTCACCTGGGCCCCCTGAGACCACAGGCTCTGCCAGGACTGCGGGATGCAGGGTGCAGTGGGGTGGGAGTGGGAGCAGAGTGGGAGAAACCAAGACAGAAGAGGGAAATGAAAGCAGTGCCAGGCAAGTGGGGGTCAGAGGGAGAGACAGGAATCCACATGCAGAAAGGGAAACAGGAAAGAAGAAATTAGAAAAGAGGTCCGCGAGATGAACTGGTTCTTTGGGGACTTGTTTTGAATGTCAGTGAAGGTGGCTCTCAGACAAGGCGGAGAGGAGAAATGAATAGAACATGGGGACCCGGGTCTCTGGAGATCTGCCTTAGCCCAAGTGTTCCTTTCTCTGATTCCATTATCTGGGCTCCCTGGCAGCCCCCAGCCCCACTTCCCATCACATCCCAGGCGTGCACTCTCCTCTCACTCACCCATCTCGTGATACAAGGAGCCCTGCTTGGCCAGGGCTTGGGGTGGTTTCCGGGGAGCAGGAGTTTCAATCTTCATGATTTCGTCACAGCACTGCTTCCACTGGCCTGGGGGAAGAGCACTGACTGGAACAGAAGCCCAGGTTGCCCTCTGACCTGCCACCTTCCTGCCCAGCCACTTCATTTCAGAGGAGTGGCCAGCCACCCTCCTCTTACTCATGTCGAAGAAAAGCTGCCACAGAGCCTCCCTCCAGCTCTGCAGGGCCTCCCGGCTCTCTGTCTGCAGGGTGTGCGTCACCTCGTCCTCCCCATACTGGTTGCTGATGCTCAGGGTGAAGGGCCGTCCTGGGGCCTGGTCCAGCTCCCCTGCCCGGACTCGAGTCTCCTGCAGGAGAAAGAGGAGGTCTGCTGCCACCCACACCTTGGTCAGCCCTGCCTTAGAGGGAAGAGCTTGTGGGGTGTTTGCTGAGCCCTCTCATCTGCCTTCTCCAGGCCAGAGTGGGAAGGAGTAGCCAGGAAGGACCGGGGATGAGACACACAGTTCCAACTCGGGGAAGGGACTGAACAGGGCAGGAGAGCAGAGAGGTGGGCAAGGACACTTCCGAAAAGTTGGCAGGAAGTCACCCAAAGGGCTAGGGAACAAAGAAGGCAGCTGGACCTGGGTCAGTAGAGAAAGGAGGTGGCGAGGTAGACATTGGAATCAGGGAGAAAGGAGAGGGGATGACAATGCATAAATGCAGTGAGCTCCCTTCTGAGACTTGGCAGGTGCTGAGGATGGGGAGTGAACAGGCGACCCTTTTCCAGTGATACTGGGGTAGAGGATAGTCTCCTTAGCGTGCTGGCCCTGAAGCTGCCCTTAAGAACAGGAAGCCAGCTTCCAACTCTGAGCTCTGCACCATTCTCTTCTCGGGCCTGAAGGAGAGGTGTCCACCTGTCAGGGCGCCTGATAGCCTCACACCAGGGGACCCATCACCTTGTTGATTGCAATTGTAAAGAGCGGCTCCTCCCCGCCATCTGCATCCTCAGGTCTCCGGTAACAGCAGAGGTTTGTGCCTTTCAGGACTCCATGCACACGCACCCAGTTCTGCAGCTCTCCAGCCTGCTGCATGAACAACTCTGTTTCCTGGGAGGCCTCATGCCCCCCACAGCATCCCTTCCCAGTCTCTCCACTGGGGACCTGCTCCTTTTGCCCACCTTCCCGTGTGGTCCTCCCCTCATCTTGCCACATCCCCTTTCCTCTACCCACATCTTGGTTTTCCCACAAACCTATTTAGAGGATCCATGCCTCTCCTGCCTTCCCCCATTCCCTTCCACTCCTCAGGGCCCCTCACCTGCACCCTGAGGGTACCGCTTGCAGTGGGCTGAGTCATGCAGAGAGGCTGAGCTGCCAGGCGACAACACACACTACCATAAAGGGGCAGCCAGGCAGGGTTCTCCTCTGGGGGAGGAGGAAGTGCAGGGTGAGGGTGGGAGGCAAGAAAGGGACTGTCCCACAGTCCCTCTTTTCATCACCTATGTCCTGTCCCCCACTGCGCGCGCACACACGCACAACTCACCATGGCTGGCGAGGGTGAGGTCGTGTGTGCGGAACCCGTCCTGCACTGCTGCCAGGGTGAGTGTGGTGTGAGCCAAGAGGTGGTAACGGGGACCGCTGCAGGACAGAGGAGGGGCCTCAGCTGGGGAGGGCCTTTGAGGGCAGGTGCAATAAGGGCTGAGCAGTTCTGCCCTGCTCTCAGGCTGCCCCACAGAAAGCTAGCTGGCCTCCAGACAGGGGTTAGCCGTGAACATTTACTGAGCCCCTGCTGAGCGCAGGACCTTGCTTTACATGCGTTAGCCCTCTGTCCCCAGGACGTTCCTGTGAGATGGCCAGCATGCTGCAGTTAATAGATGAGGCACCATGAGACTCTGAAGTGAAGGAACATGGGTAATTTAGACGAGATCGGGCGCGTTCAGGGAAACATGGGTAATTTACAGCTGGTAGGTGGTGGAGTGGAATTTGACTTTTGGTTCACTCCCCCAGAGGTGCTTGGACTGCTCCTCAGAGTCCCAATGGTTGCACAAGGTGCCTCCAGGTCCCCATAGGTACCACCACAGGGCCCAGCCTACCCTGTTCCAGCTAGGGAGCTCTGATTCCACCACATAAGATCGTTGCAGCTGCTAAGTTAAAACCCGAGAGCCTTGCTCTCCCTGCCATCTTCCTAGTCTCCCGGACTGGCCTGGGCCCAGCCCTCAGGCATGAGTGCCTTCCGGCCATGTGGCTGCCGCTCATTCTTGTGTGTCTGCAGCTACTGGCGGCAGTGCGAAGTGGGCCGTGCACGGCTCAGAGATACCCCGTGGCCAGGTCCAGGTGGCTGAGCGCAGTGGGGAAGTGCAGGATCTTACCCCACAGCTGGGGTGGGGAGCAGGATGGGACTGCTCCCCGAACTCCCAGCACTGTCCAGTGATGCCCGCACACGCCTCCCAGAGGAGCGGCCCAGCGAGCTGCTGAGTTTGGTGGCAAGTCTCTTGGGAGCACCAGCCAGGACCCCCTCTTCTTCCACACAGGCCCCGTACAGCTCCAGCCGCAGTTCAAAGTCTGGCCCTGCCTCGGTACTATAGGAGTGTGGGTGGAAAAAGAGACGGGGGTGGATGAGAAGTCCAGGGAGGAATGGAGTTGGGGGCACAAGCATACGCTGACCCCTGGAAAAGCCAGGAGGCACCTCTCCCCCTCCCCCCGTCCTCCCCCTCCCTAGGAACACCTTGTGTATGAACCAGAGCACAGCAGGATAAGGAGGGACCGCCGGGAGGAGGTACGGAGGAGGTACTCACAAGAGCACATTGCTCTGGAACGAGATGTCCGTGAGGGTCCTATCCACCAGGATCATCTCTGTGTCCTGAATGTGTTCCCCTAGCTGCAGCAGCAGGAACACAGCCCAGCGGTGCAAGTCTGGGGCCAAGCAGAGCAACACTGATGAAAAATATGTCCCACAAGAGCCTCCCCGGCTCAGGCTCCCTCTCCTGAGTCTGGCCTGGGGTGTGCCCGAACTTACCACCCTTGTTCTTGAAGTATTCTGTGTCCTTCCACATGAGTGGAATCCGGAGGTCTACGGGGCAGAGGGGGAGGAACAGGTGTTGAGGCAGGGCTGGGGGCGCGGGTTGGGAGGGGGCACCAGCAGCTGGGACGGCTGTGCTTCTTACCGGAGATGCAGACCCGGCCACGGCAGGGGGAGCGCTCAGCGGGCGGCCCGCTGTCAGAAGGCCTGTGGGCAAATCACAGCACCCCGGCCTTGAGACACTACTCCCCCTTACTCCCAGTCCCGAGAGCTCTGGGACCTGCCTGGTCCCAGGGGCCCACCCTCCACATCCTCAGCCAGGCTGGTGACTATGGGACTATGAGGGACTGTGAGGAAGTCACTGATTGACCCAAAGGTTTGCCTGGCTAAGGACACTCAAGCTACGTTAACTCACAGTACGCAGGCTTAGTGCTCTTCCCCTTCCAACCACCCTCCCTGACCCCCTTGCCCAGTCCCTGAGGGACAAGTGGGGCTTGAGAGCACAGGCACCCGCACAGAGACCCTTTCCAAGGCTTTTCTCCATTAGCCCAGGCTGGGAGGGGTCTGTAAGCTTTTCTTTTGAGCAGTATAGGGAGGCTATCATTTCTACTGTCTCATCACTTCTTTGGTACTGGAGGGTACTGGGTCAGTAGGAAAACAATCTGAGCAGGTTTTAGGGAAGCAGAGAACGCAAGCAGGGAACGTGTGTTCCATCCACCACGGACCCCTCTGCCTCGTCCCCACAGCTTCCATTTCTCCTTTTCCCTCCTGGCCAGGTATGCTGCACATCCCCAGTGCCCCGAGCTCCCAGGCCATGCCATAGGGCTCCAGATACCCAGCCTTCCCCTCCTGCCCAGCGTCAGGACTCACCACCTATGGGTCCTCTCCTAAAGGGGACAGCCAGTTCGCACATTCTTATTCATAATGCCACTGCTGTAACCACCTGGCAGGGCCTGCAGCTACA